CATGGATGGAAGGGGGAGTGGATGGATGGGGGAGTGGATGGATGGGGCAGTGGATGGATGGAGACATGGATGGAAGGGGGAGTGGATGGATGGATGGATGGAGACATGGATGGAAGGATGGATGGATGGGGACATGGATGGGGGAGTGGATGGATGGATGGAGACATGGATGGAAGGATGGATGGGGGAGTCAATGGATGGATGGAGACATGGATGGGGGAGTGGATGGATGGGGACATGGATGGAAGGGCGGATGGCTGGATGGAGACATGGATAAATTGGTGGAGACATGGATGGATGGATGGAGACATGGATGTATGAAGACATTGTGACAGTAGGCAGGTGAAATCACCTGGTTGCGTCCTGGATGGATGATACATTTGTCCGAGGTTCAGGCTTTATGGGGATTTGTTCCACTAGAGGGAAGTGCTGAGTCCTCCATCACGGAGGTAATGAGCCCAGATGAAGGTAGTCGGCTCATTAAGACCTGTATAAAGCTTCCCAGAGTGCTCAAGGAGTTGCTCCAACCTGGAATCAGATCTGTGCCTGAACTGACTGGGGAGCTGACCTGTTATCTGTGTGCAGGGAGACCAAAGCCTGTGTGGCCGGCCTCCAAGTACCAGCGACTAGGTATAGCAGCAGGCTGGTGGGTAGCTAGGGAAACGTGGTTGTTGCAGTAAGTAGCCAAGTTGGCCCGGATTTATTTTGATGTTTCTTTTTGGTTTACCATTTTTCTGTAAATATTGTAAATAAATTGCACCTGTTTGTTTTTCACCTCCACTGTGGTTGTGCTGTGCCTGTTTTTTGTGTTGTGCACCCATCCAGGGGGTCACACACACCCGCTGCCGAGCGAACCCCATTACATATGGTGGAGGATGCGGGGGCAGTTGTGGTAACTAAAGGCCAGCATGGAGGAGATAATAAGACAGTTGGCTCTGGCGAATGCCAATCAACAGCAGGCAAATGCCAATCAACAGCAGGCAAATGCCAATCAACAGCAGGCAAATGCAAGTTTATTCCAGCAGAGCATTGCAGCCCAGCAGAAGGCCTTGGAACAAGCGGAGGGCCGCCATAGGGAATTGCTGGTACAAACAGGACCAGAAACACCAGCAACAGATTGAGGCTGTTTTGAAGCAGCTCCAGCAGAGGCCGCAGACTGAGGCTGGTGAGGATTCCGGTAAAACACCATCATTTTCTGTGGGCCGTTTATTGCCAAAAATGACGGAAGAGGATGATCCGGAGGTGTTTCTAACCACATTTGAAAGGACTGCTGAAAGGGAAAAGTGGCCTAAAGAACAGTGGGCTGGATTGATGGCCCCATTATTAACTGGAGAGTCGCAAAAAGCTTACTATGACCTGGAGCCGGACCAAGCCAAAGACTATGAGGTGCTAAAAGCGGAAATTTTTGGCCCGATTGGGTGTTACCCTCGCTGTCCGTGCTCAGCGGGTACATAATTGGACTTTTCGGCTTGGGAAACCTCCCAGGTCACAGATGTATGATCTCATTCACCTGAGCAGGAAGTGGCTGCAGCCAGAGACTTTGACCGCCCCAAAAATTGTGGAACGTGTCATCATGGAACGGTTCCTAAGGTCTCTGCCTAATGCTATTCAAAAGTGGGTCAGCCATGGAGACCCAGAGACCGCAGACAAGCTGGTGGATCTAGTGGAGAGATACTTGGCTACGGAGAACCTGACCTCCTCTTCCAGAGACTCACAGACTTTCCACCCTAAGACCAGACCATCCCCAGCGGTGGGTAAGATGACTACAAGGGGTGAGGGTGGAGAGGGTGGGGAGTGTTACCCAATGTCTGGCAAGAGCGGGCCAGGAAGGCCAAGGCTGCAAGAAGCGGCGAAAAAAATTATTGGTTACCACTGCCGGCAAGAGGGACATATTGCAGCTAATTGCCCAGTGGTGGATGAGCCTATGCAGTGTGACTTTCTGAGGGACCGATGTCAGTCGCTGTTTGCGACAGTGGTATGCACGGCCAGCCCGGGCACTGAGAAACATTTGCGTAAGATGATGATGTTAATGGAAATAATGTTGTGGGGTTGCTGGATTCAGGTAGCCTGGTAACCTTGATTGGAGAGGAGATGGTCACTACAAAGGTCTCTGGGTATAAAAAGGTGGCGGTGATTTGTGTGCATGGGGACACCAGAGAGTATCCCGTGGCCACTGTGTTTTTTGAGACCCCCAAAGGTAACCTGTCTCATCAGGTAGGATTGGTGCCTCACTTACCACATGATGCCATTGTGGGGAGGGATTTTCCAAAATTCTGGGAACTCTGGGATTGTCCTGACCCCCCCCCCCCCCACTGTCTCCCTGCAGACCAGGAAGGTGAATCCCAGAAAGTGTCTGAGTGTGGTGAGGTCTTTCCCAAGTTCCCCTTGTCGGTACTAGCTGGGGAGACCCAAGGAACTGGGGAGGAGCCCGCCTCTTCAGATGAAAACCTGCCGCTGTGGAGTTCGGACTTAGAGGTGCATAGGGAAAATTTTGTCACCGAAACAGCTGAAAGACCCCACACTGATAAAAGCCGGGAAAATGTGGTAAAAGTAGATGGTGAACTAGTGAGTCCCGAGAACTTCTGCGTATCCATACTTCCTTGTGGAAAGGACCTACTCTATCGAGTTGCTCAAGGGGCAGGAGAAACCATTGAGCAACTGGTGGTGCCCAGACCTTACAAGAAGTTGGTGTTGGAGTTGGCCCATGGACACATCCTTGGGGGTCATTTGGGGGGCGGAGAAAACACGGGAAAGAGTATTGCAGCGGTTCTATTGGCCTGGGGTCATTAAGGAGGTAGAAAATGACTGTTCCTCTTGCCTGTGTGTCAGAAGTCGGCCCCTATGCCCCATTTCCGTAGTCCACTTGTACCTTTTCCATCATTGAGGTCCCTTTTGAAAGGATTGCAATGGATCTGGTAGGTCCGCTGGTGAAATCCGCTAGGGGGCATCAGTACCTGTTGGTCATACTCGACTATGCCACCCGCTATCCAGAAGCGATTCCGCTCCGAAATACCTCTGCCAAGACAATAGCTAAGGAGCTTTTTCCTCGTTTTCAGCCGAGTGGGTATTTCAAAGGAACTGCTGACGGACCAGGGAACCCCCTTTATGTCCCGGGTGATGAAAGAGCTGTGCAAAACTGTTCAAGGTAAAACAGTTGCGCACCTCTGTATATCATCCCCAAACCGACGGGTTGGTGGAAAGGTTCAACAAAACCCTGAAACAAATGCTAAGGAAGGTGGTAGATAAGGATGGAAAGGGTTGGGATTATTTAGTACCCTATTTGATGTTTGCCATCGGGAGGTACCCCAGTCCTCTACAGGGTTTTCACCGTTTGAGTTGCTCTATGGGAGACACCCAAGGGGGCTGTTAGATATCGCCAAGGAAACTTGGGAAAGTGAGAGTTCTCCCCACCGGAGTGTGATTGAGCACGTCGCCCAAATGCAGGATAGAATTGCCCAGGTCAATGCGATCGTAAAGGAACATTTGTCCCAAGCGCAGTTAGCGCAGCAGAGGGTGTACAATCGGGGGGCCCAGACCAGACCCTTCAAATGCTGAAGGAGATCTAGTGCTAATCCCTACGGTTGAAAGCAAATTCCTGGCCAAATGGCATGGCCTATACGAGGTGATTGAGAGAGTGAGTGAGGTGAATTACAGGGTCAGACAACCAGGAAGGCGGAAACCTGAACAGATCTACCACATCAATCTGTTAAAGACCTGGAGGGACAGGGAATCCCTAGTTGCTGAGGGTTTGTCACCAGCGCCATCTGACTGCTTGGTTCCGGAGGTTGGAATAGCAGTCACCTTGTCTACGACTCAACAACAGGAGGCTAAAGAGTTTGTGCTCCGCCACACAGATGTTTTTTCTGAGCTGCCGGGACAAACCTCGGGGGTGGAGAATGACATTACCACCCCACCGGGGAAAGGGTAAAACTAAAACCCTATAGAATCCCAGAGGCCCGGCGGGGAGGCCATACTTGGGGAAGTACGGAGAATGCTGGATTTGGGGGTGATAGAGGAGTCCCAGAGTGACTGGTCCAGCCCCATAGTGTTGGTGCCCAAACCAGATGGGAGCTGGTGATTTTGTAACGACTTTCAACAGTTGAATAAAGTTACAAAGTTTGACACCTACCCCATGCCAAGGATAGATGAACTAATCGACCGACTGGGAGCAGCCCGGTACATGACAACGCTAGACTTGACAAAAGGTCATTGGCAGATTCCCCTAGCTAAGTCAGCAAAGGAGAAGACTGCATTTGTAACCCCCGAAGGGTCATCCCAGTATAAAAGAATGCCGTTCGGGTTACAGAATGCACCGGCCACCTTTCAGCGAAAAATGGATCCGATTCTTCGCCCCCATCAGAAGTATGCTGCAGCGTACCTGGACGATGTGATTGTCCATAGCGCAGATTGGGCCTCACATTTACCAAAAGTCCAGGCTGTGCTAGACTCAATACGGAAAGCTGGGTTTACGGCCAACCCAAAGAAGTGTACGATTGGACAGGAGGAGGCCAGGTACCTGGGGTACACTATTGGGAGAGGGGTAATAAAACCTCAAATCAACAAAGTGGAAGCCATACAGAATTGGCCACGCCCAAATAACAAGAAGCCGGTACGGGCTTTTCTAGGAATTGCTGGCTACTATCGGGATTCATCCCCCATCTTGCTTCTCTGGCCGTACCCCAACCAACCTGACAAAAGGGAAGGAGTCTGTCGTGGTTCAGTGGTCCCCAGAGGCTGAAGCAGCCTTCCAGTCTTTAACTTGTTGCCGACCGCAGATAGCTGAATGACGGCTTCACTGCGGCCGGCCAGTTCTGAGTGGACGTCATATGACGTCCCCCCAGAACGCGCTCTCCTGCGCGCCCCAGGGGGCGCGCACCGGCGATCTCCGTGATCGCTGTGTCCTACGGACACAGCTGATCACGTGATGTGGTAAAAGGCCAATCACAGCGGCCTTTTACCACATGATCAGCGGTGTCCAATGACACGCTGATCAGAGGGAAATGCAAGTGCCGGTTCTCGGCTGCACTTTCCTCACGCTGTCAGATCGTGAGGAAAGTACTGCTGAGAACCGGCAGTTGTCAGAGCGGGGATCGGCACCGATCATCAGGGCACTGATGATCAGTGCCCTGATGATTGGTGCCCAGCAGTGCCACCCGCAAGTTCCACCCACCTGTGCCCAGCAGTGCACCCACTAGCTCCGCCCACCTGTGCCCAGCAGTGCCACCTACCTGTGCCCAGCAGTGCCACCCACCTGTGCCCAGCAGTGCCACCCACCTGTGCCACCCACCTGTGCCCACCAGTGCCACCCACCTGTGCCCACCCACCAGTGCCGCCCACCAGTGCCACCCACCAGTGCAGCCCAGCAGTGCTGCCAGTCAGTGCCACCAGTCAGTGTCCAGCGGTTGTGCCAGTCAGTGCCGCCAGTCAGTGCCCAGCAGTGATGCCAGTCAGTGCCGTCTATCAGTACCCATCATCAGTGTCACCTATCAGTGCCGCCTATCAGTGCTGCATATTAGTGCCGCCTATCCGTGACACCTCATTAGTGCTGTCTATCAGTGCCGCCTATCCGTGCCACCTCATTAGTACTGCCTATCAGTGCCCTTTAGTGTTGCCCATCAGTGCTGCCTCATCAACGCACATCAGTGAAGGAGAAAAATTACCTGTTTGAAAAATTTTATAATAGAAACAAAGAAACTTTTTTTTTTTTTTTTCAAATTTTTGGCAATTTTTTATTTATAGCGCAAAAAGAGCCCAGTGGCGATTAAATACCACCAAAAGAAAGCTCTATTTGTGAGAGAAAAATGATCAAAATTTCATATGGGTACAATGTTGCATGACCGCGCAATTGTCAATCAAAGTGCGGCAGCACTGAAAGCTGAAAATTGGCCTGGTAAGGAAGGGGGTAGAAGTGCCGGGTAGGCAGGAAGGGGCTAGAAGTGCCCGGTAGGCGAGGGGTTCAAAAGGGCCTTATGTAGCCAGCCAGTCCTATACTCACCGGACTTCTCAAAAGACTTTGTGGTCCAGACGGATGCATCCGATGTTGGCTTAGGAGCAGTGCTGTCCCAGGTGTGGCAGGGGGAGGAGCACCCAGTAATCTACCTCAGCCGAAAGCTAAAGTCTCACGAGGAAAATTACGCCACGACTGAGAAGGAGTGTTTAGGGGTAAAGTGGGCCTTAGATTCCCTTCGGTACGATCTGCTGGGCAGACATTTTGACCTGATCACCAATCACGCTCCCCGGAAATGGATGGCCCAAAATAAGGAGACCAATAGAAGGGTAAATAGGTGGTTTTTGGCCCTACAGGAATTTACCTTCACAGTGAAGCATCGCCCCGGTGTTCAGATGGGAAATGTAGATGCTTTATCCCGGGTTCATGCCTGCCTGGCTACTGGTGTTACAACCCCAAGGTTGAAACAAGATGGGGGGGGGGGGGGGTATGTGACAGTAGGCAGGTGAGATCACCTGGTTGTCCTGGATGGATGATATATTTGTCCGAGGTTCAGGCTTTATGGGGATTTGTTCCACTAGAGGGAAGTGCTGAGTCCTCCATCATGGAGGTAATGAGCCCAGATGAAGGTAGTCGGCTCATTAAGGTCGTTATAAAACTTCCCAGAGTGCTCAGGGAGTCGCTCCAACCTGGAACCAGATCTGTGTCTGAACTGGCTGGGGAGCTGACGTCTCATCTGTGTGCAGGGAGACCAAAGCCTGTGTGCAGGGAGACCAAAGCCTGTGTGCAGGGAGACCAAAGCCTGTGTGCAGGGAGACCAAAGCCTGTGTGGCCGGCCTCCAGTACTAGCAGCAGCTAGGTGTAGCAGCAGGCTGGTGGGTAGGTAGGGAAAGCTGTTGTTGCAGTAAGTAGCCAAGTTGGCCCGGATTTATTTTGATGTTTCTTTTTGGTTTGGCATTTTCTGTAAATATTGTAAATAAATTGCACCTGTTTGTTTTTCACCTCCACTGTGGTTGTGCTGTGCCTGTCTTTTTGTGTTGTGCACCCATCCAGGGGGTCACACACACCCGCTGCCGAGCGAACCCCGTTACAACATGGATGAATGAATGGAGACATGGATGGGGGAGGGACTGGATGGAGACATGGAAGGATAGGATGGATGGATGGGGGAGTGGATGGATAAATGGGGGAGTGAATGGAGACATGGATGGATGGATGGATGGATGAAGACATGGATGAATGAATGGGGGTATGGATGGGTGAGGGACTGGATGGAGACATGGAAGCATGGATGGATGGAGGAGTGGATGGATAAACAGGAGAGTGGGTGGGTGGATGGATGGATGCAAAGATGAATGGATGGGGGAGTGGATGGGGACATGGGTGGATAAATGGATTGATGGGGGAGTGGGCTCACTTGGTTGGTGGAGGTGCACTGAAGTGACTGGAAGCAGGTAGCGGGAGATCTTCATTGACCCTGAATATCCCGATGAACTTCCTTGAATGGGGACATGGATGGATGGAGGGATGGAGACATGGATGGATGGATGGACGGAGTCATTGCACTCGTCACTTTATTTTTGGCGGTGGAATATGGAAGTGGCGTCTAGGAGGCGGCAGTAGACCCGCCTACACATTTGGGTGGATGTGACTTTTTGATGTCTTTGATTCCATTCATTGATGTATGAAGTCTATTATTACACAGAAGCTCTTTGTGAGTTTTTGTGTGAATTTTGTGTCCTGAAGTTTGTTGATGTCATTTGCAGGAATTATCGCGTCTGGTAAATATTTTGGTCTTCAGTTTCTGGTGATCATTGGTTGCGGCTGAACCCTGTGTTGTGTCCATCGCCCAGGTGATCAGGTGACACGGTCCATCGCCAGGTGATCAGGTGACACGGTCCATCGCCCAGGTGATCAGGTGACCCGGTCCATCGCCCAGGTGATCAGGTGACGCGGTCCATCCCCAGGTGATCAGGTGACGCGGTCCATCCCCAGGTGATCAGGTGACACGGTCCATCCCCAGGTGATCAGGTGACGCGGTCCATCCCCAGGTGATCAGGTGACACGGTCCATCGCACAGTGATCAGGTGATGCGGTCCATCGCCCGGTGATCAGGTGACGCGGTCCATCGCCAGGTGATCAGGTGACGCGGTCCATCGCCCAGGTGATCAGGTGACGCGGTCCATCGCCCAGGTGATCCGGTGACGCGGTCCATCGCCCAGGTGATCAGGTGACGCGGTCCATCGCCAGGTGATCAGGTGACGCGGTCCATCGCCCAGGTGATCAGGTGACGCGGTCCATCGCCCAGGTGATCCGGTGACGCGGTCCATCCCCCGGTGATCAGGTATCGCGGTCCATCGCCCCGGTGATCAGGTATCGCGGTCCATCGCCCCGGTGATCAGGTGACACGGTCCATCCCCAGGTGATCAGGTGACGCGGTCCATCCCCAGGTGATCAGGTGACGCGGTCCATCGCCCCGGTGATCAGGTGACGCGGTCCATCGCCGGTGATCAGGTGACGCGGTCCATCGCCCGGTGATCAGGTATCGCGGTCCATCGCCCCGGTGATCAGGTGACGCGGTCCATCGCCCCGGTGATCCCGGTCCATCGCCCGGTGATCAGGTATCCCGGTCCATCGCCCAGGTGATCAGGTGACCGGTCCATCGCCCAGGTGATCAGGTGACGGTCCATCGCCCAGGTGATCAGGTGACGCGGTCCATCGCCCAGGTGATCAGGTGATCGCGGTCCATCGCCCCGGTGATCAGGTATCGCGGTCCATCGCCCCGGTGATCAGGTATCGCGGTCCATCGCCCCGGTGATCAGGTATCGCGGTCCATCGCCCCGGTGATCAGGTATCGCGGTCCATCGCCCCGGTGATCAGGTATCGCGGTCCATCGCCCCGGTGATCAGGTCCATCGCCCCGGTGATCAGGTATCGCGGTCCATCGCCCCGGTGATCAGGTATCGCGGTCCATCGCCCCGGTGATCAGGTGACGCGGTCCATCGCCCAGGTGATCCGGTATCGCGGTCCATCGCCCCGGTGATCAGGTATCGCGGTCCATCGCCCCCGTGATCAGGTATCGCGGTCCATCGCCCCGGTGATCAGGTATCGCGGTCCATCGCCCCGGTGATCCGGTATCGCGGTCCATCGCCCAGTTTTTCGGCATAGAGCTGGAAGTATGCGGCAGTTGATGAAGGATCAGTGCTCTGCTGCCATCTCATGGGCACTTTGTGTTATGACATGCATGAAATGTGATTTCCTTCCACTGACAGTCATTCCGATAAAACGTGGAAATATAATAATTGGCGCACTTTCCGCGTCTCGGAGTCCCTCCATCTTTATATTGGTGGAGGGTCATGCTGCATCAGGCTTGGTGGTGGAGGAAAGCAACATGGAGGGTGCACACCGGGCCAGGTAAACGCACTCATCGCAGGAGGCGCACATTCTATCTCATTTACGGGTAGCCTGTCCTTTTGGAAGGGGGGGAGGGGGACATGGAGAACGCGGGATGACCAGATTCCCCGCAATAGGAAGCGGCTTCATCTCCGACAATCAATTCCTGATAACAAAATCCAACACAGATTAGTGAGGGAGACGCCGGATAAAGGAGGATTCCCCCGGAGAGCAGCGGCCACAGCAAGGGATTAGATGGCGGGGAGGATTCCCCCGGAGCGCAGTGGCCACAGCAAGGGATTAGATGGCGGGGAGGATTCCCCGGAGAGCAGTGGCCACAGCAAGGGATTAGATGGCGGGGAGGATTCCTCAGAGAGCAGTGGCCACAGCAAGGGATTAGATGGAGGGGAGGATTCCCCCGGAGCGCAGTGGCCACAGCAAGGGATTAGATGGCGGGGAGGATTCCCCGGAGAGCAGTGGCCACAGCAAGGGATTAGATGGAGGGGAGGATTCCCCCGAGCGCAGTGGCCACAGCAAGGGATTAGATGGCGGGGAGGATTCCCCGGAGAGCAGTGGCCACAGCAAGGGATTAGATGGAGGGGAGGATTCCCCCGGAGCGCAGTGGCCACAGCAAGGGATTAGATGGCGGGGAGGATTCCCCGGAGAGCAGTGGCCACAGCAAGGGATTAGATGGAGGGGAGGATTCCCCCGGAGCGCAGTGGCCACAGCAAGGGATTAGATGGAGGGGAGGATTCCCCCGGAGCGCAGTGGCCACAGCAAGGGATTAGATGGCGGGGAGGATTCCCCGGAGAGCAGTGGCCACAGCAAGGGATTAGATGGAGGGGAGGATTCCCCCGGGAGCGCAGTGGCCACAGCAAGGGATTAGATGGAGGGGAGGATTCCCCCGGAGCGCAGTGGCCACAGCAAGGGATTAGATGGCGGGGAGGATTCCCCCGGAGCGCAGTGGCCACAGCAAGGGATTAGATGGCGGGGAGGATTCCCCCGGAGTGCAGTGGCCACAGCCCAGGGGGATTAGATGGAGGGGAGGATTCCTCAGAGAGCAGCGGCCACAGCAAGGGATTAGATGGCGGGGAGGATTCCCCAGAAAGCAGCGGC